GGGAGCTGCTGTAGCCCAGGTAGCAGTGATGGTGTTAGCCCAGGGAGCTGCTGTAGCCCAGGTAGCAGTGATGGTGTTAGCCCAGGGAGCTGCTGCAACTGTAGCACAGGACTTGAAACAGGTCCGGGGTTACGCTCAACATCGCCAGCCAGAAGTATTATCATCAAGAGATTCACAACCCCCAGGAATGATCTAGATACCGTTTTAACACATTTACCTGGGGGCGGCCTAGCATGTCCACAATCCAGGATTCTTGAGTACAAAAGATGTTGGCTCCTCTTTGCTGGGTGGAGAGTTGAATTAATCATTTTCCGTGGATACATTAAGCTCAAGAGGAGGTAGAAAGACAAAAAGAGACCAAACAAACATGGCAAAATCCAAGGTTTTTTGATATATTTTTTTGGCAAACACACAGGACCTGCCTGCCTCTGTGGCTTCACCCTGGCGGCCATCTTGTTTTTTCCCAATGGAGTACATGGAGTACCCTAGCCTGTAGCCTGTCTCCAGACTTCAGTCCTGTAGTGAGAAAAACACACTGTGTTCATGTTTGCAATTTTGTCTTGTTATGCAATATTTGACATTTTAAAAAAACAAACAAAAACTATGTTTTCAGAAATATTTGTGGGTGTTTTCACGTTTGCTTGGTTGGTTTTTTGTACTGCTTGAACACTAAAGTGGCCCTCCAATGAGAGGACAGTGCCAGCAGGGGCCCACACCTGAGTTTGAGTGTAAGTGGGCCAAAATCTCTCCTGAAATGTGTGAAAACGTGGTGACAAAGAAATGTTTTACTGCTGCAGCAATGACTGCATTATGAAGTTCTTTCAGGATTGTAAGTGTAACACTTACATATTTGCAACAATGACGGGTGGCCCATGATCTTATTCAGGTAGTCGGGATTCCTTGGTTAGAAGCTGGAGAAGAGATGGGAAGAAAAGCCGGACAATGAGCAAACTTGATGGTAGTGTGAGAGAAGCCAAAATCAGACAGCAATGTGGAGGGACTTGATAATGAGCAGAGGTTCTAAAGGTGAAGCATGCTAGGATTTCTCAAGCTGGAGGTAATGGACCAGTGTCTTCTGAGGGCTTAGTGGGTTTATCTGGGGGGGTATCTTGAAATAGAAAATTGAAAGGGGGCTGCCTGGCTGGCTAGTTTCACTTTGTCAAAGCAGTGATGACTACTTTGTAATTTGTTTAAACGAATGAAGGTGACGCTACACAGTTTTGGAGGTATTTGCTGAATTTGGAAGGCCAATTAGGGCAGAACTAGCAGAAGATGTAGCTCATAATGCCATCAGGCAGGACAGCTGATCGTCATAGAAGCTGTTCAAGATGGCAGGGAGATGTTGACCGGAATGATTATAACAAGAAAAGAGGGTTTAGATGATGCAAGAAGAATCGGATAGTAGTCTATAGGATGTGTTACGTTTCGGTGTTGTCAGTGTTTTGTTTTTGCGTGACTGTCATGTGTTTCCTGTTTTACTTTGAAGGTCTGTTGTTATCTTAGTGTGTTCAGTTTACGCTTCCCTGTCTCGTCAGGTCTAATTTGCCCCAGCTGTGTTTCCCTCCTGTGGTCCATTCCCTGATTGCTCCTTCTATGTATTTAAGCCCTGTGTGTCAGTTGGTCATGTTCGCGATCTCCCCCGTGTTGTAAATAGTTTGGTGTTTTGTTGTAAATAAATAGCTGTGAATGGGTTTGTTAATATTTTCGTTTGAGACACCTTCATTTTGGGATTTTGGTGGAGAGCTTTAGTTTTTTTCTCGTGTGGTTTTTTTTTTTCTTATTTTTATTTTCATACGTTGCACGCCGGTTGCCTAGGCCGGGGTGTAACAGATGACTTTGGTGATCAAGAAGAGGACCTGAGTGAAGGCAGAGCATAGGATTAAGTGGTGGAAGATGAATAAGGAAGAATGTTGCACAGAGGTCAGGAGGAGTTCAGACGTGCTCTGGGTGGTACAGAAGAGTTACCATATAAGAAAGTCCATCTCCAAAGCTAAGGCAAACTGCAAAGTGGGTATTTCCTGTATCCTCTGGAGAGAGGAAAGAGGCCAAGAAGTCTTTGTGGTGGACTGACGAAGTAGAAATTGGCAAAGAGTAAGAACTGGGAGGCTAGGTGTACAGCAAAGAACGAGGTGGCAAGGGCAAAACTCATAGTAAGTTGTATGAAAAGGCAGAGAAACCTTGCTGGAAAAAAGACCGCTAATGTCACGACACTCATCTTTCACGTATTCATTAAAGTAAAACATCACTACTTCCACATCCAGTTGGTTGTAACTGAGGCAGAGTACGCGCTCCCGA